TGTATGGGTGTATACATAATACTTTGCAATGTATTCACAATTTTTTCATTTTTTTTACAAACTGATGACGTCAGAGCTCAGCAAAGAAAGCCTCTTCTCACGGATGCTGTTTCGCGGTCGAAAAGATTTTTTTCTCCAATTTATGACCTGGAACGAAAAACCAAAAATGTTTGTGTTTCTATAAAATTAGCTCGAAATGTAGGTACGTACGGAAATTTAAAAGTACCGTTTATGTAAAAATGGTGAAAAAGGTTTTTACCTAAAAATGAAACTTTTTTTCAAACGTACCACTTTTACAAAAACCGGTATTTTTTAATTTCCGTACATACTTCCCGAGCTAATTTTATATAAAACACTAACACTTTTGGTTTTTGTTCCAAGTCAAAAATTGGAGGAGAAATCTTTCCGGCTGCGGGACACTATCCGTGAGAACAGACTTTCTTTGCTGAATTTTGGCACTGCCAGTTTGTAAAACAAATTGAAAAATAATTTGCGAATACATTTCAAAGTATGTACAATAAAGGTCTTTCAACAAATTTTGTATTCCATTTATGTATTTCCATAAAAGAATGTCAAAATTAGACTGTTTTTTCGGGCGCTAGAATGGCATTAACCCTTAATCTTATTATCTTACAATTAGTAACGCAATGTCTCGAAAATTTAGTTTTAAGTAACATAAGAGCAATTTACAAAATGGATATTGTTTAACACGTCATCTCGTTATTTATAAGTCATAAAACTGTGATTAATACTAGAACTCTTGTGATTTGTGATGTAGACATCTTTGCGGGAATAAGACGAGCAAAAACCTTTTTCGAGAATTGCTCACATTTTTTATTTGTATTTCTCTCTCAGAAATTTGTATTTGTATGTCACAATATTAAAATATCTACAAAATAAACCTTTACCTTCTGGTATAACTTGTGGCTTGACGATTCTGTCCCGACGATTTTATGCCCCACTTAAATCACCTTATCGCGTCAATGAAGAAAAACAAATTCAAATGTTGAAATTATCACTCGTATAAAAATTAATTAATTAGAGATTGTATTTCGCAGACGTATAAGATAAACCGAAAGTTTATGCACATTTAAAAAATATAAATGTGCATAAGACAATAATGTGAGAATTACATTAGAACGATCGGATCATTAGCTAACGATGTTGATTGGCGCATGTCACACACCGAAGATGATGAATCTACCGCGGTAGCCAAGAGACGACTACCTTGACGAAGATCACGCGAACTGTGGCGGAACTTGAGAGTTCGGAGCGTCGCAGCGCGATTACGCGCATCACGATAGTGTCATTGCAACAATCTTCTAATTAAACTGACAATGGGCATAAAGTATGGAGTACAAAACGAATGACCGACGGGTATACTTCGCAGTTAGGAGACCCGCAAGTGGATAATATGACCTAAATTTAGTGGATGATATGTTTAGTTAAATTGAGGGCCGCGATTCCAACATATCCTTCAATATAAAATCTCTCGTGCAAAAACACCTAAAAATATCTCATAATTGAAATATAAAATAGCAGCAATATTTTGGTACGATCAGTATTACTAAATGATTAGCACGAATTAATAACACAGGTCTACAAATTTTCAACAATTTCATGTTAATGGAATGAAACCAAGTGCACTTTATGTAATTTTAGTCGCTGAATCCGAATCTGGCCTCCGTTTTCTCCCATCACGTTAGAATTTTTAGATATGACCCATTTTTTATCTTAAGCAAAAAAACGGAAAAATTCAAGTTTGCCCCTAGGCATTTTGTAACTGATAGAGTAAAGTGTATCATGACGCATGTTTTCTACTCAGTTTTCTATGCTGATTTCAAGAATGGTCGGCAATTTTTAATCACGTTCCGTTTTGAAGACGTTAGCGGTAAAGTTGGAAAAACGGTGTTTTCGGATGTTAGGATCAAAAATGGGCCATATCTAAAAATTCTGACGTGATAGGAGAAACGGAGGCTAGATTCGAATTCAGCGACCAAAATTACATAAAGTGCACTTGGTTTCATTCCATCAACATGACCCTTGTAGACCTGTGTAATCAATCAGAAACTTTCAAATATCACTGTATTTTGTTAGGTTAGTAGAACAAGAACATTTATATTTTTATTTTCAGGGTAAATATCAAGAAATAAAAGAAAAACATCGAGTAAACTTTTCATTAATTTTAATTAGCAAATGCGACATATATCTCGCATAAATATATACCTTACATTAAACATATTACGACAAACATTGAATGATAATCTTCACCCTTCGTAAAAGCGCGGCAATTCATTGCCCAGGATGACCTTTCTCTCAATTCCTTTCTCTGTAATCACACCAGTTCGTATCACACCGCCGCTGCTACCATCACGAGCCATGGCTAATGCAAGCGCTGGAAGAAGCATTAAAGCGATTAGTACGTAAACTGATAAATCTCTCCAACTTTTGGATACCTACTATTCTCTACCAGCTTGAGGCATTCATTTTTCGACATATTGGATTTGTATTGGGCATCCACATAGCCGTACACATACGTCGAACCGGAACCACCGATCGAGATCGGTTGTCTCACACACATACCACCTATGGGAATGCTATAAACCTGGCCACCCTTTTGCTTATCCCATCCTGCGACTAAAATCCCAGCCATCAGGGAATCTCGATAGTTGTAGCATATTTCACGGAATACATTAGCAGCAGTTTCCACCAAGGGCTGCGTTCCAAGCTCCATCCTGAAAAAGTGACATTATCGACAAATTGGACACAATAAATTTACAGATGTCCTTTGATATCTTACTGGTGCAATCCTAAGTGGTAAGCTACAACATCAGCAATTGCTTGTGTGTCTGCCGCCGAGCCGGAACGGCAACAATAAATATAATCTGTCACTCTCGTCAGTTTATCGGCAAAGCGGTTGGAGACGTAAGCTCTAAAAAAGTAAAATATTTTTACATAAAAAGTTATATAGGAGAATTGTCGATTGATAAAAATTATACCTTACCCCGTTGTACCTCGAGAATCAGCACCTATTACCACGCCACCATTAAACTCACATGCCATGATTGACGTCTATAAATAGACAGTAAGACAACTTTAAACATTGCATCACCTGGCGTAAAAGGAGATCATTGTGAATTCATAAATTAAGATAAGGAGACGTGTAATAAACCTGTAATCTTCTTTGCAGATCTTTGAATAAAATTTTGTAAGTAACAGAAAAATGTGTAAATATGAACGACAAATATGTATCTTACTTATAGAAGCTGCCAATCTTATTGTTTTGTTCACCCGTTTATCTATTTCCGAGTCATTTTGTCTTTTCAGATGCGATAATTTTTTTTATAAATATTCTCTTTTATACATACACACATCAATACACACATGCGTAATAGATAAATGCAGAACTTTCCAAATAATTTGAAATAAGTGTATAACATATAAATATATAATTAATTGTACAGATTTACTATTAAATTTATATAATACTAATTTAATCAAGAAAAGTATTGAAAGATAAAACAATCGATATTTTTACTAGCAAACATGCTGCACATATTATTTTAATTTAACAAAAGTTTATATAATAGCAAATATAATAGCAAAAATATTTTATTAAGTAATATAAGAACAATCTGTCTATTCTTAAAGAATTCTTTATGTTTGTGACTATTTGTTTTAGATGTCATATAATTCATGCTTCTGTTCTTTTATTCACATCAAATTAAAAAAATATTAAACTGCCTGCTACATAATAAGTTATTTATTCATAAATATACAATTTGTAAATAATTTATATCAGCACTTTTTCTCAAGTATTCTAGCGAACATATATCTAGTTAATAATTATATGTATATATTTACTAATCGTAGTTAACAACACATTAATTTCTCAACGAAAGAGTGTAAGTCGCCAGTAGTTAATTAATAGTAGAAAGAAAATTTTAGAATATTAGACCGTTTCTTTTGATGTACCCTTGATGATATATTATTTGTAAGTAGATACAATCTGACTGAATTCATGATGTAATCGATACAATTTCCAAATTGCAATGTCCTGTTAACTTGTAGAACATCTAATTCCTTAAAAAGGACCACAACGGCCCGTACGGTCGAAACGTTGGAATCTAATGAATAAAGACATCTGCCAGCCTAACGTCGTTGAATAATTCTTTCCAACATTAATTTGTTCTTTATTTCTATTTCACTATGTTAAGTAAATATATACATTTACCAGTATTTACTTAATTTTATGCTTTCACTATGCAACATATTCTTCAAAGTATACATAAGAAATATTCAGAGTATCAGCAAAACTAAAATCAACATTTCAAGACGGAAAATTTACTTCAATCATTAGATACAATATATTTCTCTATTTTTTAGTTAAAGCTCATAAAAATACTTTTCTTCAGCTCTGAGTTGTCAGAGCTAAACAATCCGACTTTGCAAAGTCATTATAACCTAAAACCTAAAAACTCACCCCTGTGCTCTGTTCTGAACTAAGCCAATCTGGCGTCATATCTTCTGAAACAGTAGCTGCGTGCGGTTGGAAAATATGATCCACGTGAGCCATTTTTTCGTTATCTCTTACAAATTTAACTATCAAATTTCTGTGAGCCCGCAACTGTAACTCCACTCGATCACAGGGAATGACAGCAACGATTTTTCTTGCGTTCATATGGTTCTCAGTATGATGTCAGGTCCTTAAGCCCCTTAAGGTGCTTTTACATAGGAGCGTCAACCTGTGTACATACCGTGTGTACATACGTACATGGTCTTCGCAGAAATCTAAAAACCAATCAGAACTCTCGCTAGTAGTTGCTACTTTCTGCCAGCAGAGTGTGCTGTCTACCGTCAACGCGAGTTCCAGTTGGCTTCTGCTTTCTGTCAAAGCGTGAGTCCAGTCTTGAAAGGTACACTTCACGTTTAGTTTTACCGGTCTTACTTGTTTACATTATTAACATTATGTCTGTGTTATTATGCCGTATCGGCTCAGTGTGTGAGTCGAGTGCCATGGGCTAGATCTGTCGTTATTACTTTGAAATAAGCTCGTTAGTTGAGGAAGGCGAAGGAAAGAAAAAAAACCTCGAAACAGTTTCGACTATTTTCTGAAAATTGCACATTTATGAGAGAGCGCTTTGTAAAAGAAGTTTTCGTAAGTCTTGGTCGTTTTAAATCGTAAATAAATTCAATAACGTTAATTTTATCGTTTGTTTTAATTTTTGCAAACTTGTTTATGTTCTAAAAATCTAAAAGAATTTCTAAACTAAAGCTGATATTTTTATCTTTAGGTGAAACAATGAATCGCAAACAACCAATTCGAACTTATCAGAGAAAAACTACAAAGAGACCTGTTGCTGGTTTGTTAACATTATCTGCCATATCAAGTGAAAAATATAGTTTTGTGGAAAACAATCATTTTGGAAAAAGTGGAACGTGTAATGATTCCTTAAATCACGATCCATTTGAGACAACATTTGACAGAATCGCCAAAGGAGCGGTGTAAGAAAAGATTGTAATACAGTAAATTTTGTAAAATGTTCAATTTCAATGTGAAATTTACTACTTTTCTGTTTGATACACGTATTTTGTATGTTTGTGTACACATGTATACGCATATGTATATGCATATATTGAAAATTTATTTTAATACAGTGTCCCTCCTATGCCGTTGGATACAAATCAAAATAATTCATGGAAAGGCAGTAGTAGCGGCAGTGATATTAATGATACAACAAATATAAAAGCTCTTACATCAGATGTTTTTATGTGCAATAATGACTCAACGTATGTTAGTAAAAAATTAGTTCATAAATGTAAAAAGCGAAACAGACGTGAACCAGAGGTTACAATTACCGCAGGAACATTAACAAAGAGAATAAGATCAAGAGCCAGAGGCCAAGAAAAACAGTCGGGAAAATCACAGGTACATACAATTTAGAAAAATAACAAGTTAAGTTTGTTTTTAATATAATATGTATTAATATGCAGGGACAGAAGAAACGAGCGAACAAAGTACAAAAGAAAAAGATACTAAAAAATACACCCAAATCTGGACGTGTGTGCAATGGACAGGTATCTTATGTAAATTGTAACGCTATAGATAATTCGAGAGATGTCTCATATATAAATGATATTTTATGTGACAAGAACTATGAACGTTTGCACCAAAATGTTTTAAAAAGCAACGAAAAGATTACGTCACCAAACAAGTCAATTGGAACGAATGACTCCGTCGCAGATTTCAAGCGTACGGCAAATTATCAACAAGTCATCAAGCCATGTTTTGTTAAATTAAATCCTTGCACTGTTCAAAATTATATTTCAAATCGCGAAAAGATTACAGAGAACAAGCAAGATATATTGCATAATGCAAAATTGTATACAAATACTTTACTTACAGTATCAAGTAACAAAGAGCAAGATATAATTTCCAGCACTCCTATTGGCAAACGAGTCAAACCGTCCATCAGTGTAGTAACTTTTTCACCTATTAATTATAATACTTGTGACAAATTACAATGGACTCGGGAATCAGTAATAACTGCAAAAGAAGATATTACCAACGTTGATCAAAAAGGTTCTCGGTCTTCGATTGCGGAATACTGCAAACTCGATCCTGAAGATGTACAGGAACAACAAACGCAAATTCTATTGCGCCAACAATCACATGTGTCAACAGATTCTGCCATTGAGAACGGAATAACTTCTCGTAAGAACAATATTCGTGTAGCTATTACTCCAAAATATGAAACAGAATGCAATGTTGAGACAAAAATTCCGTATTCCTCAAAGAACACATCTGCTATGAGTACTGATCAATCACGTTCATTATTTGATGAACAACAAGAGCAATTGGTGGGCGATAATGAACAAGCTACAAGAATAAATGCTATAGAATCTGTTTGTGAGAACGGTTCACATAAGGATGAAACTATTAACATAAGTAGAGACAGTGTGTTATCCGGTGAGAATCGAGACAATAACATTGATGATGCTTGTGTGCTGCTTACACGATTGCAAGATCCAATCAGAATAGGAAGGAGAATGCAATATCCTAAATGGCACATGTCCAACATTTCCTATAGTTCAAATGACGAGGCCACACAATCAAATAACGAGATATCTCGTATCGCAACTGATAAAAATATTTCTAACGTTCAGTCGGCATATAATTCCGAGCATTCTAAAAATGCAATAAATTCGTTTCTCGATCATTCTACATTGTTCAAGAGCACAACTCGATACAATAGTATAAATAAACAAATGGACAAGTCCGTCATTTTAAAACCGGGCAAGTATTGGGCTAGAACTTTGTCAATATTAAACAATATAAACGATGAATCTGATTTGGACAAATTAAGTGTTGGAAAGGGGAAAAAGTGGAGGCACAGCGTCCGAGATGTATTGGAAATGCAGAAACAGGGTAAGTTTTTGTATTAGATAATTATAAAAATAAAATTGTAATAATCGCGTTTTTTATAAAAATTTATATACATAATTTAAAAAATAATTTTTGTTTTACATATTTTCTAATTATTTTTATAACAGACCGTGTACTTTTACCACATAGATAACATTAGTATGTACTGTCTTAACACATGTGAATTTAGGTGCTTATTGACTTATACCAGCGAGAAACAGCGTCTATGTTTACACGGCACTCTAATCGGATTTAATAACAACCATAGTTAAGGGGCTGACCAATCGCAGTCATTCCATTCTTTTGAGGAATAGTTGTGATTGGCCAGTTTTATAACTACAGATGTTATTAAACCCGATTAAAGCCTATCGCACAATAGGAAAGCACAGGCAATAGGAACAGGGAATAACACAAGCAGCAGAAATAACTAAATTCCAACTTACCAAAAACCATGCATCGACGCACAATGGAATATGGAATAGGCAATAGGAACAGAATTTCCGACGCGTTGGATTTCTGTTCCCTATTCCCTGTGCCTGACCTACCTCACCAATCACAGTTGAGACTTGGACAGGCACGTGGTTTCAAAATACAGATGATTGGACAGCACTCCTATTGCTAACGAATCATTGGCTGTGTTCAGTAGAAGTCGGCGCTTAATAAGCGCTTTATGCTGATTGGATAGATCTAGAAGAATAGCTCTATTTCAGCACAGATCTGAAAGTATAATCCAATGAGCGCAAAGCGCTTAGCAAGCGCTAACTTCTGCTGAATGCAGTCATTAGCCACGTTCAGGAGGTACAATTGTTGAGTGAGCGCTCAATGATTTCTTAATATGATTGGCTGGATCTAAAAGTATTAACCAATCGTACTGAGCGCTCACTCAACTGTTGTGTCTGCTGAACGCGGCCATTGTATCTTGGCATTACGTAGGTTTCTATTCCGTATTTCTATTCCTTATTCCTATTGCCTGTGCTTTCCTATTGTGTAATAGGTTTCGATTAGGCGGTAGGTCGGGCTAAGATAGCGATTTTTTTAATAATTAATAACTCGTTAACTATTGCGAAAATTTTTAAATGGTGCAGGACTTTTCGACTCACAATCAGTCTAGTCCGCTCTATCCATAAATAAGAAGTGAGGCGGATATTGCATAACACCCTGTATATTTGCTGTATATGTATGAGCTTAAATTCATATGTTAAGATTAAGGCCCATATTCAAGATTTAGCGTTTTTATTAATCTAACAATAAGACTAATAAGAGTACAACTAATTATTCTTTACGCATCTTATTACGACCCCAACGTGTGTATACTTATTAGGTTTGGATTAATAAAAACGCTAATATCTCGACTTGTCAGCGCGCTAACATCGTTGTAAATGTATTCCGATTCTGAATATTTATATTTCTGCCTGAAAAACAGCTGAAGGTAATTTATTAAACAAAAGTTTCATCTAGAGGTACTAACCAATAACATCTTGTGAACAAATATGATAAGAGGTGTCTTATGATTTTTGTAATTAATTTTTCAATTTTGATGTTTATGTCGCAAAATTTTTTAAGTGGCAACATTTTAAGATTTAATACATTTTTATAATGAGACTGAATGAGTACAAAAGAAGAGTTTCAGTAATATAACCTTTACAGTCTTTAGTAAATGGGTAGGCTTTATCAGGGTTGGGAAGTAACTCGTTACTTGCAGCGAAGTTACAGTTACAGTTACTTCCTTTTGGTAACTCTAACTTAACTTCGTTACTGTCTCTACATCTGTAACTGTAACTTAACTCAGTTACATTTTTTCGATAACTAGTAACTAACTTAATAGTTACATTAATAGTTACTTTATATATGTTTTCAACCTCCACAGATCGCATTAGGTCTTGCATTTGTGCATAAACGCCTTTATCCACGCTTTACAATTTAAATGCAGATTTGACATTTTTATTTTCATTGCAAGAAAGTAACTGCAAAGTAACGATTTGTTACTTTATGAGTAACTGTAACTGTAACGTGTTACTTTTCAGAATTGGTAACTCGAAACTGTAACTGGTTACGTTTTTAGCGAAAAAACTGTAACTGTAACTAGATCCTTTTGTAAAGTAACTCCCAACACTGGGCTTTATAGTATTTATAATCTAATAATTACACTGTGACAGGACAACTAATAAAATTGTAATGATTATTACATACAGGAATTTTCCAAAGTTGTTTGAAAACAGGCAAAGATGATACACATCTATCTAGTGACACACTTAGTACAACAAATATCTCATCATTCAACAGTAATGAGTGTAAGAAATTTAACTTGCAATTAGCAAATCATGCTAAATTTTCTAAAAGGATCTCAGTGAGAGTTGTACTTAATAGTACAAGCACCAAGCATGATATCAAAGATACTTCATTTCTTGAAGCATTTAGAATAACACCAGAAAAATCTCCAAATTTGAAATTATCACGTGAGTATTTTCATTCACATATTGTTATACTTACTTGTTTTACAACATTACATATTTATATATTATACAGAATGTTATTATATTAATTGATATAAATAAAACGAATATTTACAGATCAAGAAGAATCGTTGATACATAATGATCAAATTATCAGTCATTCCACAGCTGCAAGAGACATTGTCTTACAGAGATGCTCACAAAACTGTTATGTGCCTTTTGCTGATCGTTTTCCAGATTCGTATGTAGATATTTGTATATATTTGTAAAGATATATCAATACTAACTTCTAGTATAAACTGCATTAATTCCTATTGGCAGGTATTTGAAACATTGCCACAAAATAGGCGAAGGAGTTTATGGAGAAGTTTTTCTTCATGAGCGCGATGGTAACAAATCTGTTATAAAAATTATTCCTATAGAAAACGAACAGTTGGTCAATGGTGAGCGACAAAAGAAATTCAGTGAAATATTGTCAGAAATTGTAATTGCAAAGTGAGTTAATTTATTGCGTGGGTCAAGTGTATGCAAATATTGGTGGCATTGTTGACAAAAATCATGAAAAACAATATTTTCAGAGAATTGGATGATCTAAAATTACATGCTACATACAAAACTAATGGATTTGTAGAAGTTAAAAGTATCAGCTGTATTATAGGAAAATATCCAGAGAGACTTATAGAACTGTGGAATATTTATGATAATGACAAAACATCTGATAATGATTGTCCATCGATGTTAGGTGAAAATCAATTATATATTGCTCTTGAACTCGGCCATGGTGGGGAAGATCTTGAAGCCTTTATTTTCCAAACCGCAGAAGAGGCTTATGCACTGTTTTTACAGGTTGATTGTGTACATTTACCACTTTCCGAAAGTTATGTTTAATTAGTTATTCACTTATTAGTATTTTAATTTGTTAATGTTTTGTAGATAACATTAGCATTAGCAAGTGCAGAAAGAGCACTCGAATTTGAACATAGAGACTTGCATTGGGGTAATGTATTAGTATCGAGAACAAAGGAACCGTATATAAATTACAACCTTGACGGAAGAGAAATCAGGTTTCCTAGCAAAGGTGTAAAGGTGTGTTTTACAAAAACTATTTCAAATACTATTAGAAGAAAGTCCCCTATTATGAGATAGGATTTTAATATGAGATAGTGTGGTTTCTACTAAATTAATAGACATCGTCAGTTGATTCCATGAATTTATCACCCTTACAGCGAAATCTGTTTAGCGAAGAATTCATTGTTAGATGGCGTAACTGTTGTAAAGAAGATTTGTGATTGAATTTGGGTGTTGAAAATATGCTGTCTCATACTAGAAACATATCTCATAATAGAGAACTTTCCGCTACAATTTTGATGTATGATCTTAATGAATTTTTCTCAAGGTGTCTATAATAGATTTTACACTATCGAGGATGTTATATCAAGGTTACTGCATGTATAATGATCTTGCACTAGACCCAGCTTTATTTACTGCACATGGCGAATATCAATTTGAAATTTATCGTCTTATGCGCGACAAAATTCAGTAAGTTGCATACGTTTCATTTCTTATAATTGTCGTATTTACGTTGTTTACTTCTTTATTTCTTATTTTTATTATGTGTGCAGGAATAATTGGCAGAAATTCGAACCATATACGAATGTTCTCTGGTTGCATTACACTTTGAATAAAATGATTACGGCAGTAAGATACAAAAAAAAGAATTTAAAAGTACATAAAGATTCCATTAAAAAATTAAAAGATTTTCAAGAAACAATTTTAAACTACAGCAGTGCATACGACTTTGTAATCAATTGTACTGACATCGTGTATTTATAATGCAAGTTTATATGAAAAAACAATAAAACTTATGAAAATTTCTAGATACTCTTATATTTACCAAATATGATTATGTGTATAATTCAGTGCTAGGAATTATTTACACTTCTGGTCGGATTTTTGAGACTAACGCCTACTTTTGTCCCCTTGCCGCGCGCACTCCAGCGACGGTCAGTTTACTTCTCGATAGTGGGGCGTGTATCAGGAACGGCCCTGTTTCAAAAGCGCAGTATTATCATAGTTCCTCCAACATTTTTGAGAAACTGTTATAATGATACATGTTTATTCAATTTATTTTAAAATACTTCTTATTTAACTAATTGTAATTGTAAACCCTGCTTAAAAGATTCGATAGAATTAAGAAAAAGTCTATATAATTCTATCGCGTTGTTCATAAATATCCGATTTGTTGTCAGACATTTTTAATAAATGTTCTATTATTTTTTATAATATTAACATATAATCTAGTAATCGTTTCCAATCAATGTCAATCTGATGGTATTTTATCACCACACCATACACGTCGTAACTATGTCTTTTTATAATTTAAAAACTATACTTGGGAGGAAATTTGGTAAAAGAAAAATTCCCGACGTTCGCGATTTGAATGGGAAAATTCTCGGAAATCCAATTCTTGGAATTTTAGATAGTGTCACCTCTTTGCTGATCATGTTCTCCTGATACATTGCCATTTTTGCTATTTTCGATTTGGCGTTTTGAAGAATGAAATTCTCGGAAATCTAATTCTTGGAATTTGTGATAGTGCCACCTCTTTGCTGATCATGTACTCCTGATACTTTGCCAGTTTTGCGATTTTCGATTTTCGCGATTTGAATTTGGAAATTCTCGGAAATCCAATTCTTGGAATTTGTGATAGTGCCACCTCTTTGCTGATCATGTTCTCCTGATACTTTGCCATTTTCTCGAATTTCGCGATTTGAATTTGGAAATTCTCGGAAATCCAATTCTTGGAACTTTAGATAGTGCCACCCCAGCAAACACAAAGTAACAGTTATATGTATAACTGTAAGTTAAAATTTCTTACTCAACAATATAACTGTTACATAACACACGTGTTATGTAACAGTTATGTTGTTGAGTAGGAAATTTTAATTTACAGTTATGTAACTGTTACTTTCCCACACAGCAAAACAAGTTTCAGAAAGCTTTCCGAAAGATAACTTGGAAACTAATATTGAAATGTAAAATTGAAATCATTCAGAAATATCTTTGAAACGTTTCATCAAAATCACATGTCATTGAAAGCTTTCCAAAAG